TTTTTTTGAGACAGGGTTTCTCTATGCAGTTCAGGCTGGCCTTGAGCTCATTTTGTAGCCTAGGCTGGTCTCAAACAGCGATCCTCCTGCCTCAGCTTCCACGTCTCAGAAAAAAAGATTAGAATATCAGTCACTGGTGGCCTTCATCCCTAAAGGAAGGGTCTGAGTGTAGTCATTCTTCTTTGTTCTAAAGTTGACCTTCAGCACATCTGCTGCCGCAGTGGTTTCTACGCTGAGCTCTCGGGCGCAGCCCTGGCTGGCTGTAATGTTTCTAAATCAGGGAGCTATCTGTAATAGTTTCACTTCCTTTTTCTTGGAAGAATTTGTAAAGGGTGGGTGTTAATTCCTTTTTCCCAGATAAAATATTTTAATGACATTATCACACAAAGTGTTAATTTCTTCCTGACAGTTGCTGGAAGTAGCCAGAGACGGTAGGACGGGGTGTGGCCCAGTAGAATGGAAGAACGCTTGCTAGCGTGCAGGAGGCCCTGAGTTGTCTTCAGCTCACACAGGCATGACACACACCCCGCATGCGCACGGAAAGAGAAAGAAATACTGTAACTGGGGAAGCTGTTGCATGCAGGACTTCCCGGTGCGGGGAGTTTTCTGGTTACTCAGTCTTCTTGCCTGTTAAACATCCACTTGAATTTCATTTCTTCTTGGGTCAGTTCCAGTAGTTTATTTCTCTGTGTCAGCAAGGTGATCTAATACTCCTATAGACAGCTAAGGCAGGTAAGGTTGTGGTAGGCAGTCAGACAGCTGGGTCCTCAGGAAGTCAGTGCTGAAGAAGAGAAGGAATCCGAACCAGTCCTGACAGCTAGATCGGCACGCTACCCTGGGGGTGAACAGAGGCTTGACACTATCACCCTTCGGGGATTTCCCAGTATCTCATTTGGGGTGGGCCTTGCTCTCCCGCCCACAAAGACTAAGACTAGAACTGTAGATTATCAACCAAGGTTAGGGGTGTCATCCGTACGCCTTTGCTCCGTTGGATCAGTATTACCTAAGCAGCTATGCGTGCAGACTTACTGGTCAGCCATAATCTTGACCCACGTTGTACCTGCCTCTGACTTTGCTCTGTGAAACTTCCTTGGAGGAGTGGCCTGTTGGCGCCCCGTTCGGGCTGCCCTCCGGTCTCTTGGGACCGATTCCCCATTCCTACTCCCCATTCCTTCTCCCAGTAAATTTCCCTACCCTGAACCTCCGCTGTTCTTAGAATTCATTCTTCGCCCTCTGGGAACAGGAACTTGCATGTCAGTCATCGAGCATTCCCCTGTATCCATACGTGATCACACCCTTGTGCCCCGTATTCCCTTGCAGTCATTTTATTCCTCTGAGGTCAGTGGTCACATGCCTTAACTCCTGCGTTCCTATTGCAAAAGTACTGAGCACAAGCTCAGAGGGCCCGTGATCCCAGGGGTGCAGAAACCAGCGCTGTTGACCTTTGGCTTGCGGCATGAGGAAGTACACTTGAGGTTCGGGTTATCCGGACTTGCCTACCCAGATCTGTGGAACAAGGGGCTGTTCTTCTCTTCCCAGACACTCTGCATAGAAAAAGAGAACATTCAGGTACAGCACCATGGGTCTTACCCTGCTGAACAGGGGGATTCCTCAGGGAATTTCCTAAAAATACCAGAGCTGGGGGAGGAGGGGAAGTAAAGAGAATTAAGATGTGTTATGTACAGCACAGTTCCCCACAGTGAATGCAATCATATACTGCAAACAGGTGCTAACGAAACTATAAAATCAAAAACAAATAATATAAAATGAAAGGTACGGATTCCTACCAGGCGGGCTGCGCCCGGGGAAGTACGTAAAACACGACATGTATCGGCATTGATAGTTGGAGGAATTCCAAAGAGCCCCAGGAGCTCCCAGCTGGCTCCATCTTTTAAGCGATGGTCCCAAAGCTGCAGGCCGTAGCCTTTCAGACGGCCGTGTCCGGGAGGAAGCCCTCGGCACCACGTCCTGGGGTTCTGCACCGTAAGCACCACAGCCGACAGACTCGAGTCACTGTCAGTGCTCTGAGGCAGTCTGTATTTTTCACTTCCAGAGGAGCTTCAGTGCTTTGGCGTTTTCCCCAGAGAATCACACTTCTTCCCTTTCTCCTTTTGCCTTAGAGACATGAATCAAGTGCTCGACGCCTACGAGAACAAGAAGCCCTTCTACCTGTACACGGGCAGGGGCCCCTCCTCGGAAGCCATGCACGTGGGCCACCTCATCCCGTTCATCTTCACCAAGTGAGTGTTCCACGCAGGACTCCTCGCTGGCCTAGGAGGTCGGGTGTGGTACTGACAGGCCCCATTTCCGGTTTGCTGAGCGGCCAGGCACTGGGGCGTTGCACCGTCAGGACCTCTACTGCCCGTGCTCCAGCCTCGCTTGAGACTCGAGACCTGACGGGAGAGCGGTGCCATGGAGTCGGCCAGGCCCGCCCCCACCCCTGTGTCCACGACGACGGTCAGCGCGGTGTGGCCCGAGTGTCCGCATGCACCTCCGGCAGTGACGGTGCGGCTCTGGCGTGAGGGCTGGGGACATGCAGCTGGGGAGGTGTGGCACACGCGACCCTCTCGTGTGGCGGTAGGTTTCATCCTCCGTCATCCCGTGTGCAGTGTGGCGTGCCCACTTGGGCGTGCGGCACATACCTGGAACGGCAACGATAATGCACAGCATGGTAGAACCGCAGATTCCACAGGCATCCCCCCCGCCCCCCAGGTGGCTGCAGGATGTGTTCGACGTCCCCCTGGTCGTCCAGATGTCCGACGACGAGAAGTACCTGTGGAAGGACCTGACCCTGGAGCAGGCCTACGGCTACACCCTGGAGAACGCCAAGGACATCATCGCCTGCGGCTTCGACATCAACAAGACTTTCATCTTCTCTGACCTGGAGTACATGGGGTAAGGAGCCTCAGACCTCCGCAGAACCTGCAGTGGCCACAAAGGACCCGAGGCCTGGTACACGTCACGGCCCGGTCTCTGGTGTCGCTCACCGGCAGCTACGAGGGGCGACAGCGAGGTGTGTGCACGGAGAGGAGACGCAGTTCAGCACCCGAGGGCACTGCGGTCTCCTCCGTAACTGGAGCCGCAGAAGTGCAGACAAGCCCGGCCATGGCACGGCGCTGTCTTGGCGCTGTGTCGGTTTGTCCCCCTCACTTGTGACGGGCAGGCACTCCTGGGCTTTTTCTCCCCTGGGACAGCCAGCCTCGCCGAGCTGGTCTCTGCTCTGTGCCTTTCCCTCACAGCGCAAGGGCTCGCTGGTACACACATCTCTCGCAGGCCAGCCCTGGTGTTTGTTTTGTTCTGTTTTGCTTTGCTTTGTTTTGTTTTTTGAAATAGTCTTGCTGTGTAATTCAGGCTGGCTTCCTCCCAAATGCTGGGGTTACAGGCCTACGCCACACGACCTGCTAAAGTGCGGTTTTTCAGATCAGCCTTTTTTGGAGAGCGTTTTGTTTTGTTTTGGTATTTTTGACACAGGGTCTTGCTGTGTAGTTCACACTGCCCCTGAAGTCGCTTATGTAGCCCAGGTGGCCTCAAACTCACAGGGATCCTCCTGCCTGAACCTCCTCGGTGCTGAGATCACTGGCGTGCGCCACCACACCCAGCTTAATTCAGCCTTTAAGCAGGTCAACTTATTCCATTCTGAAAATCCTTTTTTTTTTTTTTTTTGTCTTTTGAGACAGGGTCTCCCTATGCACTTCAAGCTGGCCTTGAGCTCACTTTGTAACCCAGGCTGGTCCCAAACTCACAGCGATCCTCCTGCCTCAGCCTCCTGAGTGCTGGGATTACAGGCTGCGCCACCGCGCCCAGCTGAAAATTCTTTATTGTGTGGGGGTTTTGTTCATTCTGTTCCGTTTGAGACAAGGTGTTTCAGTTCCTTTTCTCGTTGCTGAGACCAAACACTGGCCACCCAGAGTTGAAGGAGGAAGGGTTTATTTAGCTCGCAGGTTGTGGAGGTTTCAGTCTGTCATCGGCGGGCTCCAAGGCAGGGCGGGGTGGTGAGCGGCAACAGCTCGTGGCTGCGGAAGATGCAGAAGGAAGAAGAGCAGGAAGGGAGGAGCAGTGAGGGCCTCCTTGCCTCCCTCCTTGTAGGCAGGCTCCCGCCCTAGGGCGGATGTAGCACTCACGCCCCAACCCCGGCCCCAGACCGTGAGCCAGTCACAAACTCTAGATTCAGCCGCCTCTGAAAAGCCAGCCCAGGACCCCGTGAGGCTCTGGGGGGACGTCCAGGCACAGACCGTAACACAGGGTCTCACTGCAGTTGTGCACCACCAGGCCTGGCTGAAAACTCTTGAACGTGAATTTCTGGGGCGTTGGGCTTGGTCCCCCATGACTGCCAAGGAGTAAATTAGAAAAACAAGGGTCTCGTCGCTCATCCTCGAGAGAATGCTAACGCTGAAGCTCAGGGTTGAAAGCTGGAGTGCGGTACGCGGCAGAGCGCCTGCCTAGCGGGTGCCCTCCCCTGGCACAGGCTCAGGATGTTTACGAAGTGAGGACGCCGGCCCCCTGCGGAGTCGCTCAGTTAAACTTCTAAACTTCTCGGTTCCTGAGTTGACACAGTGTATCAGCCATTACACCTGGACAGAATGTGAGGGACAGAAGGGCTGCTGTGGTCGCTTGCTACTTGCTGCTTTGCCGCCTCCTGCCTGCTCACCGCCCCTCCGCCGTGCCACCCTGCCTGGGGGCCGGCCCGTTACAGGCGAGAGAGAAAGTACCTGAGATTACCCCCGGGACAGTAATTGCTCTCGCGCCTACCCATTCGATTTTCTGGGCCACGAGGCGCTGCGGGGCCCTTGGGGGAGGGAGGGCGGGTCTGGGTCCTGCTCGTTAGCGGCCTCGTGGGGACACGGGCGTCGTCATCACCATCACGAGCGTGGCTCTGTTTCTAATCCCCCAACATGACCCGAACCACCTGCTTGATGCCCAGCAGACTCAGAGGCTTCTGCTGCTCCTCAAGAGCCAGGCTGCCAGCATGGCGCAGTCACTGCTGTCTCACTTTGGGGAGACGGGGGCTCCCTGTTGCCCAGGTTGGCTTGTAACTTATGACCCTCCTGCCTCAGCCTCCCAAGTGCAGCAGCTGGGATTCCAAGTGTGCACCACCAGGCGCATCTTCCAGCACTTTTTGTGCAGCCCCTTCCCACCCTGATGTATCCCACAGTGACCTTGTCCCCCACCAGCCAGGGGTTCCCAGGAGTGCGGGTGTCACCTGCCTCCCACTCGCATGCCTGCCCCTGTCAGCGCTCTGTCAGGAGATGGGACGATCACTTTTCCCTCCGCCTCCTGCTCTTGTGATGCAGTCTGGCTCCTCCCCTGTGTCACTGGCACCCCGAGCGTGTGGGACTCACAGTTGAGCACGCGCTCTGGGAGAGCTCCCTCAAACCCACAGCCAGATGGGGGCGCCCTGTCCGTCTCCGGCACCTGGCACCCACCATAGTGTGGTGGGGCCTCCAACGGAGCCGCCCCCGCCGGGTGCAACTCTGCGGCAGGGCCTCCTGGGGCTGCAGGTCCAGCAGGAGCAGAGCCGAGACCCGCCATGCGGAGCTGACTTGTTTGGGCGGGGCACAAATGCCGGGACAAGTCCTCAAAGTCGCTCTTCCAGTGCACACGTGACGAGGGGCAGGGAGCGTGATCCGTGTGACATGACAAGTTCGCCTTCCCACACGCTCTGCAGCCGTGTCCCCAGCTGTCTGGGAACTGGGTCTCTGCTCCCCGGGGCTCAGTTAGAACTTCGTTCTTTGCAGATGTGGAGTGAAGGTGAGAGTCAGGCCAGGCATGATGGCACACATCTGTAATCCCGCCACTGTGGGGCTGAGGCTGGGGGATTGTGAGTGGGAGCCCACCTGGGCAACTTCGTAACTCAGCAAGACCCTGCCTTACCATTAGAAAGGCCTGGGGAGAGCCCGGCACGGTGGTGGCGCACACCTGCCATCCCAACACTCGGGAGGCTGAGGCAGGAGGATCACTGCATGTTTAAGGCCAGCCTAGGCTCCAAAGTGACCTCAAGGCCAGCCTGAACTGCATAGTGAGACCCTGTCTGAAAAAGACCAAAAAAAAAAGAAGAAAAAAGCATTCTAAACACGAACATTTTGCCTTTCCTGCTTGAATTCAACTCAAAACCTGTATTTTTGCCCTAACAAAGCTGCTTAACCCAGCCACAGCAGCCCGTGATAGCCCGGCTCTGGGAGGGCCATCGGTTCCTCTGGAACATCTGTCCGGCTGCAGGGCTAGACGGTCTGCACCACAGTCGGTCTCAACAGAGAAGCTCCCGGGCCTGCCTCTGTGGCCCAGCACGGGCCCCGCACATACCTCACAGGCACCCGGGTTTTCTTCTTATTGGTTTGTTGTACCGGAGGTAGGACAGCCTTCACACTGAGCTCCAGCCCTTTTTAATTTTTTATTTTGAGACCGAGTCTGGCTGAGTTAGTCGGGCTGGACTCATTCCCGCAGTCCTGCCTCAGCCTCCCAGAGTGGCGGGGTCACAGGTGTGCACCCCATGCCCAGCAGGACAGCAGTTCTCAGGCTGCTCCCTTACCCATGAGGGAGGCCCCTCCAGCTGGGGTCCGACTCCCACTGTCTCCGCAGGATGAGCCCGGGCTTCTACAAGAACGTGGTGAAGATTCAGAAGCACGTCACGTTCAACCAGGTGAAGGGCATCTTCGGCTTCACGGACAGTGACTGCATCGGTAAGGGCCACGGCCGCCTGCAGGCTCCTCCCAGGGAGGAGCAGGGTTCAGAGGAGGAGAACGGCGCCTCTGCGGGTCTCGGGAGAGTGGCGCCAAAGCCTGTGCACCGGGGACCGCATGACTCCGAGCCACTAGGCTTGGCAGTGAAATTCTAAATTGAACATGCTAGAGCCGGGCGTGGTGGCATGTGCCTGTAATCCCAGCACTTGGGAGGCTGAGGCAGGAGGATCACTGTGAGGTCGAGGCCAGCCTGGGCTACAAAGTGAGTTCAAGGCCAGCCTGAACTGCACAGTGAGACCCTGTCTCAAAAAAAAGACAAAAAAAAAGTTGGATGTGCTGAAATGTCAAGCAGTAGGCCTGCAATGGCTGCCTTTGCCAGCTGCAGAAAGCTGCACTTTAGGAGTAAAACTGCTCTTCTCATGCACACTCGTAATCCCAGAACTCAGAGACTGAGGCAGGAGCATCGCCCTGAGCTGGAGGCCAGCCTGGGCTACATAGCGAGACCCTGTCTCAATTGAAAAACAAACAAACGGGGCTGGGGATTTAGCTCAGCGGCACAGCGCCTGGCAAACAAGAAAAACAAACAAACTGCTCCTCTCCCCAGTCATCCACTGTAAGGCTTAGAACAAAACAGAAAACTTTCTCGGCACACACACGAACCTGCGCTTTGGAGAGGGTTGCTGACCCGGGGCCCCAGCAGGACAGGGCAGTGGGGAGATCCGAGCGAAGGCCGCCCTGGGCAGCCGGGGAGGGGGCGCAGCGTGAGCACACTCCTCCCTCCCGGGAGCTGCCCAGCCGGGCCCAGCCCTTGCTCGCGCGCACGCTGTTTGTGGCCAGCAGCCGCGGCTCTCGGCCTCTGTGCAGAGCTCTGGGCGCCCACTGAGAGGAGCCGCTGGGGTGGGGGTGCCAGAAGTGCCCTTCGGGTGGCACTGGCCCTGGCGCTGCCCACCAGGTCTCCCCAAGACAGTCCAAACGCCAGGCGCGGGTGCCTCTCCTCTGACGTGGCCGCAAAACCCTGTCCGAGCGCAGAAGCCCAGCGGGTGTTACACCATGTTGCCGGCAACACTGGATTCCTGGGAGTCGGTGTCCGGATGAGGCAGACAAGAAATGGGCAGTAACAGCCCACTGGAGGACAGGCGTCCAGAGGTGCTGTCCTTGACGGGTGGGGACAGGAAGACAGGGCAGTGGGAACACGGACGGGCACATGTGAGCTTTCTTCAGGGGCCTCTTTTGTATACAGCCTGGGGCAGTGAGGGCCTCACCCTGCCAGTTCACGTTGGCCGGGGGAGCCCGGGGGTCACTGCTCCAATTCAGGTTTCCCTGCGCAGTTACACAACGGCTTAGTTCTGTTCGGTGGCTGGAACTTCAGCATGAGAGACGCTGCTGCCGGCACCGGAGCTCGGTCCTCACCAGTGGCCGCCTGCCCCTCTGCCACTGTGCTGGGCCTGGACCCTGCAGTGTGTTCTCAGCGACAGCCCGAGGGCCTGGCACCACAGGCGGGGCCCGAGGTCCAGGGTGCCACCGGTGCCGCTCGTGACAGCAGCAGCAGAACGCGGGGAGCAGCCTGAGGGCCCACGGGTGGAGGGCTCGGCCACGCAGATGTGCCGTCTAGAAATACTTGTGCCCAGGTGCAGGGATGGGACGGGACGGGGAGAGCAGTGCCGGAGACGGGCCCTCACCACCGCAGCACAGAGAACGGATGAGGCCCAGCGTCAGGCTGTGGAGCCTCCTGTCCACGTCTGTGTGTTTCCGCTGCTCTTGAGCAGCTGTCAGGTTTCTGTGTGGTTTGCTGTCAGGGAGGAGCGCGCCTCTTGTCCACTCACCGACGCTCCTCCCTCGCTCACAGGGAAGATCAGTTTCCCCGCCGTGCAGGCCGCGCCCTCCTTCAGCAACTCGTTCCCGCAGATCTTCGGGGACCGGGCAGACATCCAGTGCCTCATCCCCTGCGCCATCGACCAGGTCAGCGGGCGTGCCGGGCGGGCAGTGGCGGGCAGGGGCGGGGCTCTGCGCAGGCCCCAGGTGCTCAGCCCCTCTGTGCCCCCAGGACCCCTACTTCAGGATGACGCGGGACGTCGCCCCCCGCATCGGCTACCCGAAGCCGGCGCTGCTGCACTCCACCTTCTTCCCCGCCCTGCAGGGCGCGCAGACCAAGATGAGCGCCAGCGACCCCAACTCCTCCATCTTCCTCACCGACACGGCCAAGCAGATCAAGACCAAGGTGAGCGGCGGGCCGGCACACGCGCGCTCTCGCACCCCTGCTGCTCTGTTTGCACCACCAGAGCTGGCCTGCGCCGGCTCCCAGACCCGGGGAGCGTGTCTTGTCTTGTCTCCTCACTTAGGTGAAAAGCGGCGTCTTGTTCTCCCTGCTAACGCTGGTGGGGGGCAGCGTGGTACTCCGGGCGACGGTTACCAGGCGGTACCAGATTCCCATCTGTCTCCCAGCGCCAGCTCCGGGACGGGCGCCTGGCGGGCTTGCCGGCTCTGCTGTCTGGGAGCTCGAGGTTCTGTGCTGTGGAGGTGCGGCACTGGGGCCGGCTTCCCAGCGCCGGAAACCCCAGCACTGCTGTGCGGCCGAGGAGCTCCCCTGAGATGGCTCCTGCACCTCAGGCCTGTTCCTCAGGCCCGTTCTGATGTTGGGTCCTGAACCGCCAGTGTGCAGAAGGCCTGGGGGGTGCAGGCGCTGGTGCTCTGAGCCCCGTGGGTCTGCGGGCGGGGAGGGCCAGGCAGGGTAGAGGAGGCATGGGGCGTGGTTGTCTGAGTCAGCACCTGGCCCCTGACCCTGCTGCGAAGTCCTGTCTGTGGGGTAACCGTAGGGGACTGTTCCTGCAGCCTTTCTCAGGGAGCAGCCTCCACCAGGAGGCTGGGATGGGGCTCTGCGGCTCTGTGTATTTCTGTGTCAGGACCCGGCACAGACCCCGAGGGCCGGGTGAGCGGAAACCAGAAGTATGTGGCCTGTGGAGGGTGCCAGGGTCACCAGCGGCTGGCTCCAGGGTGGCTGGGTCAGGCCAGGCTTCGAGTCCTCATGCCCACAGGGCATGGCGGCACTTGTAGTCCCAGCACTCTGGAGGCTGAGGCAGGAGGGTTGAAGTTCAAGGCCAGCCTGCTGAACTGCATAGTGAGACCCCAGGCCCCTCCTGACTGAGGGCCTCACAGTGCTGCGAAGGACACGGTGATCCCAAGCGGGCGTCCTGTCTCCCTCCGTCACACCCTGCACCCACCTTTGTCCAGCCAGGCACATCCTCTCCCTTCTCCCACAGCAGATGCGGGATCTATAGCTGCCTCACGCTCATAGAATACGGAAGTGCGGGCCAAGGCCAGCCCGGGCAGCAGCGGGCTCTTCTGCTCCTGGGTTCCGCGTCTGGAGCTCAGGGCCCCACGCTGCAGGGTGCCGGAAGGAGCTTCCGCCCTTGCTGGGGAGGCTGCTGCAGGAGCGCTCCATCCCAAAGGCACCTTCGGGTCCCCCACATCGTGCTCACGGGGGCTGTCCTCACCCCACCTCTCCTGGGTGGGCGGCTGGGCCGCAGTGTCTGGCGGCCCGGTCCCAGTCTGCCGGTCCCACCCTCTTCTTGCTGCAGGCACCACCACGACTGGGTCTCCTCGCGGACAGCTAGCAAACGCTCATGCTAGGGCTGGCACCCCGCCCCAACCCAGTGGACCGGCGGGCTCCCATTTTGTTAGCTTCTGTTTTTTTGTTTGTTTGGTTTTTGGTGTTTTGAGACAAGGTCTCACTATGTATATGTAGCTCAGGCTGGCCTCAAAGTCCAGGTAATCTTCCTGCCTCAGCCTCCCAAGTGCTGAGATTACAAGCCTGTGCCACTAGGCCCAGCTTGTTTTTATTACTTTTGGGTTTTCTTTTGTTTTGCCTGTTTCGAGATGGGGTCTTGCTATCTTGCCCAGGCTGCTCTTGAAGTCCTGGGCTCAAGCATTTCTCCTGCCTCAGCCTCCCTGCTACTTCAGGTAGCCACCATCCTAGCTCCACCTTGGTATTTGGAGTTTTTCCTTGCACCTAGATTTCTCCTGTTCCTGAGCTGTCGTGCCCCAGGCCCGCTGCCTCCTCGCTTCTGGTGGGTGGGGCAGCCGCTCCGAGGCTGCCATCCTGCCTGCTTCTCACTTCTACCTGTCAGCCCGGCCAGCCCGGCTCGGAGGGGACTTGGCCGCTCCTCCCTGGGAAGCTCCTCCCCCGAGCATGGGGACACCGCCCCGGATTCAGGCAGCACCTGGCTTTTCCCAGCTGCAGTCCTATGGCTCTGGGGAGTGCAGGGTCCCGCGCTGTTCCGTGACCCCTCCCGTGTGACGTGGCCCGTGCCCCTGCGCAGGTCAACAAGCATGCGTTCTCCGGAGGCCGGGACACCGTGGAGGAGCACCGGCAGTTCGGGGGCAACTGCGACGTGGACGTGTCCTTCATGTACCTGACCTTCTTCCTAGAGGACGACGACCGGCTGGAGCAGATCAGGAAGGTGAGCAGGGGGCGGGGGCACCAGAGACCTGTGACGGCCGCCACACAGGCCGCCGCCACTGCAGCTCGGGGCTGGTCAGCAGAGCTTGTGCTGCGTGGGCTGTGACCGGGGGGCCCACGCACGTACAGCCCCCCAGCCACTTGCTGAGCAGCCCGGCTGTGGGACAGAGTCCGGAAAAGGCTCAGAACCTTGGCCTCGATTTTCCAAGTCTTGTTTTTTTTTTTTTTTTCTTTTTTTGTCCTTTTAAGACAGGATCTCGCTATGCAGTTCAGGCTGGCCAAGCTCACTTTCTAGCACAGGCTGGTCTCCAGCTCGCAACAATCCTCCTGCCTCAGCCTCCCGAATGCTGGGATTACAGACATGTGCCACCACGCCCAGCTTCAAGTCTTGGAATCTTTTCCAAGGAAATCATATGGAATAAAAGTTTCCTATTTAAAGACATTGAATATAGCAAGCAAACTGCAGCTGAGATGTTAAATCAGAACTGTTGCAGATGGATTATTATATAAGTGTAAGCTACTTAATAGAGTTTTTTAGCCAAATGTGGCGCACACGTGTAATCCCAGCTCCTGAGGGGTCTGAGGCAGGAGGATCAAGAGTTGAAGGCTGTGAGCATTTTAGTTTGTCTGTTGCAAAATACAGAGTAAAAGGGGCTGAGGTCATAGCTCACTGGCTGAGCACAGGACCATGCATTCACCCTCCACTGTGACAGAAAAGAGAGAAAGAGAAAGAAAAGTCACCAAATGCTGGCAGTGGTCGTAAATAAGAACTGTTAGCCAGGCGTCCTGGCACACGCCTGTAATCCCAGTATTCAGGAGGCTGAGGCAGGAGGATTGTTACAAGTTCAAGACCAGCCTGGGCTGCAAAGTGAGCTCAAGTCCAGCCTGAACTACATATCGAGACCCTGTCTCCAAAAAAAATATGTTCCAGGTGGATTATTATGCAAAACTCTAGTATTATTAAATAATCTTAAAAAGAATTAAATGATTAAATAATTAAAATAATTAGAGTTATTATTATGCAAAACTATGAAGTCGCTCAACCTGCATAATAATGCCCCCCGTCACAGTTCTGATTTAGGAGTCGTGTGTGGCTGGTGCCTCGCTTGAGTGGTGGTGTATTTACAACCGGGAGGAAATCCGCAGGGCTTTCGTAGGAGCCGTAAGGCCGAGCAGGCCAGGACTCTCTTGGTTCTGGTGCCCCTAGGGTGATGTCCCCGCAGTGGAGGGGCGGGCATCACGACCCCGCTGTCGCTTTGACGGGCGGGTCACGGGTACTGGGGACAGGTGTCACGGTGAGGTGCAGCTCACTGCTGTTCGGGGACCACCCTAGCCAGTCCTCCGTGGCGGCCAGGCTGAGCTGGGCGGGGCCCTCTCACTGCTTCTGCGGCCCCTTCTGGCAGGACTACACCAGCGGGGCCATGCTCACGGGTGAGCTCAAGAAGGCGCTCATCGACGTCCTGCAGCCCCTGATTGCCGAGCACCAGGCCCGGCGCAAGGAGGTCACCGACGAGATGGTGAAGGAGTTCATGACGCCCCGGCAGCTGTCCTTCCACTTCCAGTAACGCCGGTCCTCTGGATGCCTGTGACACCTAATTCTCTAGTAACCCCAGCCCTGCCCAGCCATGCCCCGCCCCAAGCCTTCTGTCCCGCGGTAATTCCTGGGCAGTTCCTGGCGTCTGCCAGCCCTGCATGTGTTATGGATTCCGGCCCCTCCTGTGATACCTGTCCTTCTGTCGCTGTGGGTAAGCGGGTCCTGGCTCACGTGGTGTGGTCAGCCAGGAAGCGCCCAGCAAGAGGCTCCACACACAGCCCAGGCGCAGAGCTCAGGCTGTGGGGCCTGTGGCGGGAAGGTCCCTGGCCAACCTGTGCCGCCCCAGAGAGAGCTGCTGGGGTTCCCAGTGTACTCCCAAGATCGCTCCCCGAAAAACTAGTGCAGTGTGTGTAGGACGAATCAGAACGGTGTTACTCTACCCCTGAGCAGTGCAGTGGAAAGTGGCTGTGAGAAAGGGTCCTGGACGCAGGACATCAGAGCCCCTGCCCCCACAAAAGGGACTGATCGCTACGAGCTTCACTGAACACTTGACCGAGGCTGGGTTGGGTGCAGCTCCGCGGTAAACCGGCCCAGCCTGTGTGGGCCCTGGTTACAGCCTCACAGCTCTGAGAAAGATATCACCCAGCTTCTCAGCTGCTGTGGACACTGGCCGTGGTGGAGCGGGGCGATTTTTACCGAGTCAGTGAGCTCCAGACCACGCACACGGCCCACTCCAGGAGTCGTGCTCGCTGCCCACAACCTGCCAGTGTCACAGATAACCCAGCACTCTACCTGCAGAGTCCAGAGGGAGCTCGCCCCAGGGGGCTGCTGAAACAGTCCGCTACCTCTGCAAATGCTGCTGTTTCAACACTAGACCACAGCGGAAGTCAGCACAGAGCAGTGGCCGGCCCAGCCGGGCTGGTGGACCTAGTGAGGGACACGTGCATGGCTGCCCCAGGCTCAGGGCCTCCCTGCGGGCACCACGACCGGCCCTCCACGCACGGTCCGTTAGGGCAGGGAGGGCCCTGGCTGCAAACCTGTCCCTGGACTCGGGGTGCGCTCTGGGGTGCTGCCCCTCTGTGCTCGTGGGCTAATAAACTCCCTTCGCTCCTTTTCCGCCTTGTGTGCTCTGCTTGGGGGCCAGCGAGGCTGCACAGGGTCACAGCAGGCCAGGCCAGCCACACCTGGGGCTGAGAGCTGCTGCCTGGCCCTGCCCTGCCCGGGTGGCCCTGAGTTCTGCAGGGGGTGGTCTGGGGGAGGAAGGTGCAGGTCTGTGTGCTGAGAACCAGGCCCGTGTCGCTTTGCCTCCCTGGAGCCGCCTGCTCGGCCAGCCCCTGCAGGCCGGTGGGGCGCGCATCGCACTGGGCGTGGCCTGAGTGCAGGGCAGAGCTGCACAGGCTGGGAGTGGGCCCGGCCAGGGCCTCACTGTGCTGCCCACGCTCGCTTTGCCAGCGGGGAGACAGAGGCTCTGAGGAAGCGGCAGGGTGTGTCCAGAGCCACTGCTGGGGCTGGGGGCCGCCGGTCACTCCTGCCCCGGCCAGGACGGAGGGCACACGCAGGCAGCGGCATCTCCTTCTCCCAGCGTCTTCAGCTCTCCAGGCTGGGCCGGCCTTGTGTCAGCTCAGGCTCAGAAACAGCACCGTCCTGGGCCCTGGAGCTTAGTGTCAGAGCCAGGTGCGGCCAGCTGCAAGGCAGAGCTCTGGGGCAGGCAGGGGCCTGGGAACTCGGGGCGGAAGCTCCTCATCTCTAGGGTGCCCCTCACAAGCTGTGAGCTCGCCCAGCACTGCTGCTGGGCACTGCGCGAGGTGCCCTTGAGCCTCCGCCTGCAGCCCCACGGCAGGGAAGTTCAGCCAGGACCACGGCGAGGGGCAGGCTGGGATCAGGCCTCTGTGTGCCCATCTCCATGGTGGGCACCCTGGCACAGGTAGAAGGGCTCGCATGGGAGGAGCTGCCAGGCTTGCCCCCACCTGCTGGGATGGGTGGGTAGAGGTGGAAGGACGGAGGGAGGTGGGCCACCAGCCCCACAGACCACACACACCGCCAAGCATCCTGGGAAACGCTTTATTGACCACGGCCTGGCTGGCCCTGCGGGTGCTGTACATGCAGCAGGGTGATACGCGTTCCAGGCCAGGATGTCGGCCTGTCCCGGGACACGACCCTCGTGGGGCAGCCTGAGGCAGGCAGGGCGCAAGCCAGCCTGGAGCCAGAGCGAGGCCTCGCCACCCCTCGGTCCCCAGACTGGCAGAGGCAGCAGCAGGGCTGCCTCATGGGCACGGCCTTGGAGGGCACAGAGGCTGTGCGTGGGTCAAGGGGCAGAGTTGGTGGGCAGCAGGGATAAACGTGGCCGAGCGACAGGCAGCTCCACGTGACACACCCTCCTCCAAGAGGCCACTTGACCCTGAGGCCGCCCTGGCGAAGGCGGGCAGCCCCTTGACTTCCTGCGGTTGGAGCCTGGCCAAGCGCCCGGCTGCTCAGGGCGAGGCCCTTGGGCGCCCCCGCCCCCGGCCTCCTCGGCTGCTGCGACCTGCGGAAGCCGCTGGGGGCGGCGCTACGTGAGCAGGCCGCGCGTGAGCCGCAGCACGGCCTCGTAGGCCACGAAGACCACCATGTTGACCGGGAAGGCGCGGCAGCAGTTGAGCGCCAGCCCCTTGAACAGCACCCTCGGGCCCTCCTCGCGCACGCTGCTCACCACGCAGTGCAGGAGGCCCCGGTAGCGCCGCAGGCCCTGCCCGTCCGCCTGCAGGCGTGACTTGATCACATCCATGGGGGTGGCCACCGCCCAGGCCAGGACCCCCGCGCAGCCGCCGGCCACCAGCACGCCCGCCACGTCTGCAGGAGAGAGCGGGCTCGCTGTGCGCCCAGCTCCCTTCCCCGAGGGGAAACGGGCCGTCTCGGGAGCATGGCGAGTCCGGGCCTTGGGCCCGGGTCCCCCAGGGCACAGCCGAGCTCCCCCGCTCCGCAGCCCCGTCCCACTGGCCCGCGCGCCCCTCACCTGGCTGGCTGTGGCCGGCGGGCGAGAGCCGCTCGCAGAGGATGGCGTAGGAGAGGAAGTAGGTGGCAAAGGAGTGCCCCTCCCGCAAGAGCAGGGCGGGGCTGCCCCTGTAGAGGCCCCGGAGCCCCTCCTCTCGGGCCACCGTGGCCAGGCAGTGCAGCGGCCCGCGGTACTTGGGCCCGGGCTCGGGACGCGCAGCGGGCACAGGACAGGCAGGCGGGGCGGCCGCGGGCCCCGAGGCAGAGGGGCTCTGCGTCTGCGTCTGCGTCTGCGTCTGCGTCTGCGTCTGCGTCTGCGTCTGCATCCGGGCCTGCGTCTGCGTCTGCGTCTGCAGGCGCACCTTGGCCACCTCAGTGGGCGAGGTCAGGAGTACCTGCGTGGGGAGGGACAAAGAGGCTCCTGCCTGCCCAGTGTTGGGGAGCCCAGGCCCCAGGACGTGGGGTGCAGGGGTCCGGGCAGGCGTGCCCACCCAAGGCCAAAGCGCGGGCGCCCAGCCCGTGTGACTGCAGGTCGTGCACATAACCCGCGGCCGACGTCGTCAAGAACGTGCGGGTGTCGGACCGGCGCCAGCCGGGGTCTCCCCTGGGCGTCTCCCTGCCCTGCAGCCGGGACAGACGCCCAGAGGCCCGGTGCCTCGGGTCCCGTGGGGACAGGACTGGGGACAGAGCCCAGCCCGGCTGCCGAGCCTGTGACCACTGGCACTCCGTGCCGCCTGTGGGTCGCACGGTCACCTGGCTTCCCGCCCATCCGTGGCCCCCACCCTGGGGGCCTGCGCCTGCCCGCTGCCTACCTGCTCTGTCACTCAGGTCCCGCCGAGTGGCCATGGGCTGGGCTGGGAGCTCCCTGAGGGCAGCCTTGGCCTCCCTGCCCGTCTGCTGAGGTGGGTCAGCTGAGGGCCCTTAGCGATGGAGGCTCTGTCTCCATGGTAACCAGGCATCCTGGTGCCCATGCTGCAGATGGAGCCATCCCGGCCAGCCCCTGGGTGACTTCCTGTCTTGCTGACCAGGAGGGTCCATCCCCTCCTCCCCACAGGACCGAGCAGCTGGGACAGCAGTGATCCCACCGCTGCCTGCTGCAGAGGGGCCTGGCCGGCCTGGCAGGACCCCGGCGCCTCCCCAGCAGTGCCCCCTGCGGCTGCCTGCCCCCCCTTGCACCCACTCACACGGACAAGGCCGGAGGCGCATCCCGACAGCGTGATGTCCACCCTGGCAGGCTTGGCGTCCGCGCTGCCGTACCGGAAGCGGCAGATGTGCGCCAGGCAGTGGCGGTAGGTGCCGAAGGACAAGGAGGAGACCAGCGACACGGTGCACACCGGCAGCGAGAGGCCGCGGTAGAAGCCCCACACCTGGGGGACAGGTGGGGCCCAGTCAGGGGGCCTGGCCGCGCTGTCTCTGCCAGTCACCCACTGCTGCCTCCGTTTCCCCCACTGTGAAATGGGTCACAGCCCCCGACTTCCCAAGTCCTGGTGAGGGACTGAAGAGGCAGGTCAGACTCAACCAAGACAGCACCTGATGGTGACCATGAGCCAGGTGCTCCATTGCTGCCGAAGTGTTTGTTGTTTGGGTTTTTTTTTTTTTCTTTTTTTGGTGTGCTTTGGATTTTTTTGAGACAGGGTCTCGCTGTGCAGCCCATTCTTGCCTCACACTTGCAGTGATCCTCCTGCCTCAGCCTCCCGAGTGCTGGGATTACAGATGTGCGCCACCATGCCTGATTCCATCACTGCCATTCTTGAGTTAACGGACCCCGGCCTGCATGGAGCCCCTCTGTAAATGTCCCAGGTCCCACCTGACCAGACTTTGAGGCCTGCAGTGACCTCAGGGTGCTGTCCAGCTCCTCGGCCAGAGAAGGTTGGAGGGACAGACTCGGCGCCCGGCCCTGCTCCTCTGCTGCACCCCCTCTGCGCAGCCCGGCCCTGGCGCTGGTGTGTCCCAGCCCATCAGCCCTGGGCCCACCCGGCCCGGCCTACCCGCTCCCGGCGGTACGTGTCCCGGACGCAGTGCCAGAGGCCTGTGTACTTGGGCTCCGTCTGGATCCTGACCTGGGGAGACAGAGGTTTCAGGAGGGGCCAGGCCAGGGCCACCCTGGGCTGTCATGGGCCTGCAGGTCTGTGGGCAGAGCAGGGACAGTGAGCCTGCGAGAGGGGAGACAGGCACGGGCTGAGGGAGGGGGCGGCTCGGTCCTGAGGGCCTTGGGGAGCCACCGGAGGCACAGACGCGGGAGAGGCAGGGTCCCCACGCACCTTCACTGTGTCCAGGGGGTAGCCCACAGCCACGCCGCAGACGCCTGCAAGGAGGGCGCGTGGTGAGCCCCGCGGGGAGCGGACCCCAAGTCCAGCTCCCCAGCCCCGCCAGCCGTGCACGTCCTGACAGCCAGGCGAGGAAACTGAGGCCAGGAGCCCCCACCACCTCCCAGCCCAAGTCCTGCACAGTGATGCCCGGTCCCGCTGCCCCGTGCCAGCCACACCCCACACGGCCCCGCTGGCATCCACTGTGGCAAGCTGGCCTGGCCCTTGCTGGGCGCCCCGGAGCCCGGCTCGTCTGACTCCTGCCCCCGCTTAGGCCACGTCTCCATCTGGGCTGATGCCAAGAGCGAGCTGGAGCCGCAGACTGCCCGGGACCTCAAATGCTTGGGGAACAGAGCGGGCGCTGCCGTGCGTCCCCAGAGCCTCGGTCCCAGCGAGGCGCTCAGGGAGGCCCAGGAGGGGTCCCGGCAGACCCTTAAGGGGTCTCTGGGACCCTGGTCCCTTCCACTTCTGCACCCGGGCCCTCTGGCCAGAGCGCCAAAGCAGCATTCAACCGCCCTGCTGAGCGTCCCGCTGCAAGAGCTGGACACCCCTGTCCTCTGGCTACTGGCTGAAGCATCTCTTTGCAGAGACTCGAGCTGTCGCAGATGCCGTGGTGGCTGTGCTGTCCCTACCGTGTGTCCCAGGACGTAGTAAACAGTGACAGAATGAAGGAACTGGAGGTGAAGTTGAGCAAAGGGCAGAATGACCTTCCTTGACCTTACAAACACCTCAGCAAACTCCTACTCATCCGTCAAAGCCCTGCAAACAGCACACATCAGCTCTTCTGAAACCCTCCCTGACTCCACACTCCAGGCTGCCCCTGCGCCCAGAGGTACGCTGGCCAGAGCCCTGTCACACGGCCTTGCTGCTGTGACCCCAACCCCGCCACCCTCAGAGCTACCAGCGTTCCCCAAGGACAGAGCCCAAGCCTGTGTCCCGCTCCCCAGGGCCAGGCTCGGAGTGGGGCTCTGTGACCCGGCCTTCCTGGTGCCAGGGCTCCTCCTAAGGCTGCGAGACGGCGGGCCCTGGGCTCAGCAGGCTGCGGGTCCCAGCCTCGCGCTCGCCCGCTGTGGTTTCACAAGACCAGCGAGGCCCAGAATAGCTCCGGAGGTCGATGGCGGGGCGAGGCGGAGCTGACCTCAGCTGTGTCCCCAGGGACAGGCACCTCCCAGGCCAGACTCTCCGCAAGTGGCGCAGCGTGTGGGAGGGACCCGCAGCGCAGCAGGGTCAGGCTGAGTCTCCGGGAATCTCCCGCCCTCCTATAAGGCAAGATGCCCCCGCCAGTATACTTCAGTGTCTTAGTTGCCCAGTAACAGTTCCAGTTCCAGTTCCGGTTGCTTCTGTCTCCTGGGAACGGCTGGTCACTGTGATGCACATGGTAAGAACCAACCCCCAAGGGACAAGCCCCTCTGCCTCCGCACTTCCTGCTTGCTTATATCATAGAAGTCCTTGATCACCAGAGACGGGCCTGATATTCTGGGAATGATCCGATCCATGCTCGTGGGTGTAATAAATCTGCCTCCAGCCAGGCGTGGTGGCGCACCCCTGTAATCGTAGCACTCGGGAGGCTGAGGCAGGGGGATCGTTGTGAGTTTGAGGCCAGCCTGGGCTATAAAGTGAGCTCAAGGCCAGCCTGAATCGCACAGTGAGACCCTGTCTCAAAAAGAAAAAAAAAAAAATCTGCCTCCAGATCCTGGGTGTCACGTCAGTGTTTCTGCTTGCCACTGCGCTCCCACGGCTCCTTGTCCTCCCCCCCAGGGTTCAGCTGTCCCTGCCTACCCCAGAGGCTCCCGGCTGCCCTCGGCCCTGCCTCAGTCCCCAGGGGCCCTCAGTGTCCTGTTGGGACCCTGGACAGGGCAGACCCCACGCCTCCTCCCCAGCCTCGTATACCCACCTCGTCTCCCCACCAGGCGTGGGGGAGCCTGCCCTCTCCTCTCCGCCCCCTGGGGCCCATGTCCAGTCCCAGCCCCTCCTGGGGGCCCCCCAGGCCCCACTGCTGCCCGGGCCGAGCACCATCCCCCACCCAGCTCCCTGCTACCTCCGATGGCTCCAGCCACAAAATCCATGGACAGCACGGGGGCCGGTGCCTGCTCACTGCCTGCACGGTCTCCTCCTCCAGACCTTAAGTACCTGCGGGGGGAGGACGGCGTTCGATGCCCACACCCGCGCTCTCACGCCGCCCCTGGGACTCCTGTCCCACTGCCCTCGGGACCCAGATGTCAGTCAGGACAGTGTCCAAGAGCTTACGGGAGGGGCAGGACCTCTGTCCCCACCGCTGCTGGCCTGAGTCCCAGGTGTGTGCTGCCCTGGACAGCTCGGCCCCTCCCTGGCCCCTGGCTCTGCTCGGGACTCCTGCTGTGGAACCCACCTGCTCCCTGGCTTATTCACTCCGAAAACACTTTCTTTTGAGACAGGGTCTCACTATGCAGTTCAGGCTGGCCTTGAACTCACTATGTAGCCCAGGCAGGCCTGAAAGTCACAGTGATCCTCCTGCCTCAGCCTCCCGAGTGCTGAGATCACATGTGAGGGCCACCACGCTCAGCATCCACAGACACTTTCTGAGCTGGGGCTGCCACAGGCATAGACAACGTGGCCCTGTCCTTGAGGGGCTCCAGAGAGGAGAGGGGGTGATGGGCCGCGGGGGCCCGCTGGGAAGGACCTCCCCCTCCGCAGCCCTGCACGGGGCCTGGGTGACACAGGGCCCTGCATGGCTGAGCAGAAGAGCCTAGCAGGTGCCACTGGCCACAGATGGGACGGGACAGCTGGTGCTGACTGGGCCTGCTGACCATCAGGGCAGGGCAGGAGGCCAGGTGTCTTCCTGTTTACGTGTCCAGGACTGCAGTGGCCTTGAGCAGCTGAGTGCCTGGGCCGGAAGGGGCCCCGGCTCCATCCAGCCGTGCGCAGTGCAGCCTCCACATCAGAGGGCAAAGGGCAGAGGCGGGAGGCGCCCGGCGGGTCAGCCCCGGTGTCTGGCCCGGCGTGAGGGACTTGCTGGGGTCCAGTTGGGAACCGGGCTGGCTCAGGGCAGGGCAGGAGGTCAGGCGACCATCTGTTTACGTGTTTGGCGGCCTTGAGCAGCCGAGTGCCTGCTGCACATCTGTCATCCCAGCACTCTGGGAGGCTGAGGCAGGAAGATGGACAGCTCAAGCCCAACTTGAACGGCTAAGTGACTTAGCCAGGCCCTGTCTCAAAATAAAAATAAAAACACTGAGGACATAACTCAGTGGTAAAGCACTTGCCTCACAGGCCCCAGCCCCAGCTGCGATCCCCAGCGCCACAGAAAAGGGCAGGCGGGAGGGAGAGCGGCCTCCCTACTTGTGCTGGAGGCGGGGGCCAAGCGTGCCCTGCTGCAGGGCCACAGCTACGGCTGTGCCAGCGGAGGTGACGCGGGGCTGTGCTTCGACGGCTGACATGCGGTGTCCGGGTTCTGCCACCCCTGCTCACTGAGACCGGGGGCTCGGGCGACATCGCATGCCGCTGCACCGTCCGCTGGGGACAGCGGGGCCCTCTCGGCCGTCCCCCGCTCCTGCACAAGAAGTGCTTCCGCCCACAAGCAATGCCGGCAGCTTTCTCTCTTGGCCCCACATCCGGGGTCGCCAGCCACACACACATCAACCCCTGAAATCCACATTAGAGCCAGGGCTGTCACCCCAGCCCGCCTGCCCACGCGCCCCACACCTGCAACGGGGCTGCCAAGTGCCGGGCACTGGGCACCACACCAAGCACGGTCCCTGCTCTGGCACCCGCAGGACCCAGAGGGAGGCAGGAAGCAGTGAACAAACAGTTAGTGCAGAGGCCGGGCTGCCGGGCAGGGTGGGGACGGGCGTGCTGCACATCACAGCAGCCAGTGGCTTCCAGGGCAGAGGGCTGTGCGCCAGGCCCCATGCGCCCAGGCAGGCAGGCACGATGGGGTTGGGGCGGATGGGACGGATGGAGGAGAGGGGATGGGCACAGAGACAAGGAAAGGAGCGGGACGGGTGGACAGACGGACAGGTGAAGAAGAGAGGAACTGGAACGGGGAGGGGCCGGAGCAAAGGCGCACACTACACTCACAGCCACTAGGGAAGCTGAGGCAGGAGAATCGCCAAGTTGGGGGCCAGCCCAGGCAACCTAGCCAGACTCTGCCTCAAATAAAACAAGGGCTGTCAAAAGGGCAAAAAGACAGGGAAAAAAAAAAAAGCTGGGCGCTGTGGTGCAGGCCTGTAATCCCAGCCCTTGGGAGGCTGAGGCAGGAGGATCGTTGTGAGTTCGAGACCAGCCTGGGCTACAACATGAGCTCAAGGCCAGCCTGAACTACACAGCGAGACCCTGTCTCAAAAAGACAAAACAAAACAAAAAAAACCGACAAGGGTTGGGGTGCCGTGAGGGGCAGAGCACTTGCCTGGCCTGTGGGTTCTGTCTCCAGCACCATGGAGAAAAAGCCAAAGAGCACTTCCGGGATTAACTGTGGCCGCAAAAGGCCGGTCAGGCACGGTCACCCCCCCACACAGGCAGGAGGTGGCAGGAGGCAGCGGCCTCTGCCAGGGAGCCTGCAGGTGGCGCAGGCGGGCTCTCAGGCGAGGCCTCGCCGGGGCCCTGGCTCTCCAGCTGTGTGACCTGGCGCTGCAGCCTGAGCTCTCTGAGTCCTGCTTCTCCCCACAGGGTCTGGTGTGGGTGGCAGGAGGCGGAGCCCGGGGCCGCTGCCAGGCTGGGGCCACCGCTGTGGGCATCCAGGTCCCCTTGGGCCGTCTCCACTGGTGCCAGGGCCGCTGTGTCGGCTGGTAGAGCTGGGACAGGGCCCTGGGGGGTGACAGATGCCATCCATGCTGGGCCACTGCTGGGGGCTTAGAGCTGGTGCTGTGATGGGCACTGGGGCGCTCGGTACCCAGCACCATTAGGGCCCCACTGTGCCACTGAGGTACTGGGGCTTGGTCCTGGTTTAGCACTGGAAGTGCTTTTCTACCCATCAACTGATGAGTTGATAAAGAAGATGTGGGTTTTCATACAATGGAGTACTACTCTGCCATAAAGAAGGATAAGCTTGATACATTTCTGGGTAAATGGATGTACTGAGACCATGCTTTTTTTTTTTTTGAGACCATACTCTTAAGTGAAGTAAATCAGACACATGTGTGCAAATGTTGAATTGTTTCTTTGGTGTGAGAAACCAAAAGTGTAAATAAGAACCAAAATGTATAACAGATATTGGGAAATGAGAAGAAAATGTTCATATGGGAAGGGGAACTAGGGAGGAGGAGGGGAAAGGAAGGAAGAGAGAAGAAAAAAATGAGAAAAGAAGGAAAAACGAAGCAAAGCTTTTGTAAATAAGGAAGGGAAGAGGGGTTGAAGGGGAAGTAGAAGAATGAAAAAAAAAAAACAAGTTATATGAGGTACAGGTATAGATCCCCGATAGTGAACATGAGCCTTCGTACACCTACAATGTACCAGTAAGCTTAAGTTAAAAAAAATAAGAATTTAAAAAGAAAAAGATGCATGCCTGGAATCCCAGCACTCAGAGGGCTGAGGCAGGAATATTGCTGCGAGTTCAAAGCCAGCCTGGGCTACAACCAAAAGAAAGGAAGAAAGAAAGAAAGGAAGAAAGAAAGAAAGAAAGAAAGAAAGAAAGAAAGAAAGAAAGAAAGAAAGAAAGAAAGAAAGACCCAGCTGCTCCTCTGCTCCTCTGAAGCCTAAACGCTCTGCAGCTTCTGTCTCAGTGGGCGCACCTCAGGCAGGGAGCTTGCGAAGTCAAACATCCATGCTAATTTTATTTTTCCCAAGTGCGTCAGAAATTCATGTTATCATCCAGAAGCCTTTGTGTCCAGAAGGAGAGCACGGGGAGGGCTCCGGTGCCCACCCAGGACCTGCTCTGAGACTCGCCGGGGCTGCCTGGACCTCGCCAGCCCGAGCCCCCCGCCTTGGCCCTGGCTTCGCGGGGGCCCGGGCACTGCAAGGCCGTGAGAGGCGGGTGGCCCACGTGCCCAGGACGGTCAGACACTGCAGCCTCACGACAGGCCCCGGCGAGGACCGTGCCCCTCGGGCACATCAGGAGGGCCGCAGGGTTTCCTGAGCTCAGGGTGGGCACGGCTGGCAGCCGCCCGGCTCTAGAGAAACTGTCCCACTCACCTGGCTGGCCGTGGGTAACCACCATCCGGGCCGGGGCCTGGAGCTGTCATCCTGGGCTCTGTGACACCTTCACTGAGGACAGCAGCCCGGCACCCTCAGCCTGGCAGCCCTGGCGGTGCCACCAGCTGGCCGCACGGGGTCCCCTCGCCCTTCTCGGACAGCGTGGGGTCCCTGGGGCACAGGGTGTACACGCGATGAGTCCCCTCCGGCCCCCAGTCCCCACATCCTGAGGACGTCCAGGCCGCTGGTCCCAGCTGCTGCCCTGCTCCTGCACGCCAGCCTGCCCCCGAGAGGTCCCAGGCCCGGAGCTGCCCTGGGTCGTGGAGGGGCACAGTGGGTCAGGGAGGAGACCCCAGCGAGCCCCGGAACCAGAGGCCCGGCTCTGGCCTGGATGACACCACCGCCCCTGGGCCCACCACTGTGCCTCAGTTTCCCTGTCTACCAACGACAACAGCTGCCTGCAGCAGGGTCTGCGAGAAAAGGGAAGCAGAACTGGCCTCCCCGACCCCACTGTCCCCACCTCCCCTCCACCCCCGACCCGCACCAGCTCCTCAGCCGTTTCAGCTGCTTCTCACGGCGCCCCCTGCTGGCCACATTTCCAGCTCGGAGCCCTGACCCTGGCACCCCCAACCAGCCTGGAGCTCTGAGTCCAGGGTGAGGACAGGGGTAATAAAAGTGCTCTGCAAAACACTGGGCCCAGCAGCGCAGCCTTGTAGTCCCAGCTACGCAGGAGGCTGAGGCAGGAGGACTGCAAGTTCAAGGCCAGCCTGGGCCACTCAGTAAGACCCTGAGCGGGGGTTCAGCTCCACGGTAGAGAGCTTGCTAGCGTGTGTGAGTCCATCCCCAGCACCAAAAAACCAACCTTACTCCTTATTGCGGCAAATGAGACATTAGCTGCTCTGCCGCAGGGACAGAAGCAGAGGCCACGGCGGGCGACGGGGCTGTTCCCTTGCTTCGCGGTGGCAATGGTCCTACAGCCCAGGTCATCCTGCGATATGCACACCTCCCACAGACACGTAAGATGTATTTCTGAGAACATCAAACATCCACTGTGTGAAGATATCTTAGGGTCAGGCAGCCAGGACGGCCCAGGACAGCCCCACTGGGGGGCCGTGGTCCCCGTGAGGCCTGGCTGTGGGGACTGGGGTGGCTCTGCTGCAGGCTGCACCACCGTCCCCTCCGCAGGACTCCTGGGGTCCTCGCGTGGCACCAGCCTTCTTCCAGAGCGAGGGACCTAGGAGCACGGAGGGCCCGGGGTGAACTGCTTGCCAGAGGTGGGGCCAGGCCCCCCATACTTGGGACAGGAAGTGGGGCTCTGCCATTTGGGGTGGGTGCCAAAGAAACCCCAAGAGCCAGGAGCTGAAACACGCACGCAGCAGCCCCGCAAGGCCCAGCAGGTGTGGGGTGGGACGCCGGCAGGGCCCTGCGCAGCCTGAGGGGGTGGCCGAAGCCCCGTCCTCTGCCCCAGGATGACGCAGAGGGACGCAGAGCTGCCCCACCCAGCAGGCTCTGGAGCTGCAGCCCCATCCCAGTCCCCGGATGCTGCCGGGGCCCCTTCTGCGCCAGGCCCCTAGCTTCCCAAGTGCCATCCACACCCCACGCCAGCTGCCTTCTCCCCAGCCTGGTGCCGACGCCAGCTCTCAGGATCCTGCACAGCCTGGGCCTGGCCGCCACCCTGGGGCCTGCCTGCACTGACCAGAGGCGGGGACAGCCACGGGCATGGAGGCCGGGGGCCTGAACCCCTCCTCTCTCTGTGCCTTCTGGCTCCACTGCGGCTGCCCTGAGCCCTGGGCTCCACTGGCCTGAGAAGCAACCCTGTGTCTCCTCAGCCAGCTCAGGCCTGGGGGTGCCATCACCTCCTAACCTGGCCAGAGCCCCCTTCTGGCCCCTTGGCGGACTTCTACACTGGCAAGACCCCCAGCTCTTCTTTATTATTTGAGATAAGGTCTTGCTAGATCTATAAATTGCCCAGGCTGGGTTGGAACTTGCGACCCTCCTGCCTCAGCCCCCACGATGCTGGGGCACACAGGGGTGGCTCTGAGGGCCCTGGGCGAGCCGGCGCCACAGCTGGGCGGAC